AAGTGGCCGTGAATGTCGGGGGCGGGGGTGGGAGTGGGGGGGTGGTGGTGTCGTGGTCTGGAAAGTTTGGGTATTTTAGGGTTCCCCCCCTGAAATGAAGGGATATCTGCAGAACACCCACAAATGCCTGAACGCGGGGCTGCAGTGTTACGGTGCGAGCGGGGCGGGTGCTTTCGCGTTGGACTGGCTGCAGAAACAAGAGCCGCTCGTTTTTCTGCCGGAATCCCCCTGTGCCAAGTTGAATCTGTGAGGATGTCCCGAGTCCGAGCCCTCGGGAGGCTGGTGGGTGTGCAGAAGTGAGAAGCTCTCATCTAGGGAGCACGGTTGTAATAATTGGGTGATTTTTTTTTTTAGATCCAAAGCCTAGATCCTAGATCTCTAGTCAGACCCTTTGAAATGTTTCCTCGCGGCAACATCTTGCCGGCGACGGTCAGAGTCCACGGAGCCGCTGCTTCCTTGCGCTTCCCATGCAGTAGCTGGCATCCGTCTCCCGAGCGAGATTTTTCGCAGAGTACGTTGGCTTGCTTTCTGCTTACTAAGCTCATCTGAAAGGACCCTTCGCTCCTCTTCCCTTCTGTCTCTCTCTCTAATGCGGCAGCGTCCGCGTCCAGGAGGGTTTCGGGAGGCCCGGGGGAGCTGTGCTCCTCTCCCCGGGGAGGCGGGTGCGCGCCTGGAGTTCCACTTTCTCGGGGCAGTGACTCTCCAGGTCCCCTGGCTTCAGCCTGCGCTGCTGGGACTGGAGGTGTCGGAGGCGCAGCCTGCATCGCTGAGCAGCGCTCTGGCTCGCCCCGCCGCCAGTCCGAGTCCAGGAGCATTAGAAATCCCTTGCCGCCAGCCACTTGCTTGTGCATAAATCACCTGGCACTTGTTAGGCATAAATCACTGGCTTATGTGCTTACAGCGAGTTGGTTGGAGCTGGGGTCTGGGACCCTCCTTGCTAGGGAGTGTGTCCTCCATCCTGGGGAGCCTGGACTACCGCCACCGGACTAACCTGTCCCTGTGGCAGGGGCTGGTTCCCCCGCTGCACGGTCCAAAGTTGCAGCAGAGCAGCTGAGTGTTTAGCTGGATGCTTCCCCCTGGATCCCAGCAGGTTGTGCGTGGGGTTGTGCTAGTCAGTGGCATTGCTACACTTTTGATGGGGCCTTCCATCCCCTCCGTCCCTTCCATCCCCTCCCACCCCTGGGGCTAGTGCAGAGCCTGGAGTGTCACGGAGGCAGCAGCAAGGCACAGCCTTGGAGGCTGCTGCAGGGCGAAGGGGACTTTACCTGGGCACGAGTTCCTGAGGCTCCTGCGAGTTGGGGTGTTTCACCTCCTTCAGTCCTGGGGCTTGCCCAGTTTCTCAATAGCAAAACTCAGTGATTTGGATGTTGCAACATCAGGCCTTTGCGTGGCTCCAGTGCGAGCACGGCTCGCCTTGATGAATTGCTGCTCTTTGTTTCTTCCCCCCTTCTGACAGTGCCCAGTATCCCAGCCTTCCTACAAACAATGCTCTCTGTTGTAGTCAGGCAATTATTTTCTGGCCCATTTTATTTTTGCAGCTATGGTATGGATCCACTCCAACAGATAGGCACTTTAGCACAGGCGGTTTCTACTTGCACACTGCTTTACTGTTCAGGTTTGCCCGTGCCTAAATACCTGGTCATTGGGTGCAAAACTTTTTTCCAAATGACCAAAGTCATGGCGTGTGTTTTCCTCGCTTTGTTTTTGCAGGCACACAATGGGGATCTTACAGTTAGACCCACATGCAAGCCTGGCTTTTCAGAAGACGACTACACAGCATTCGTCTCCCAAACCATCATGGAAGGGCAGAAGTTACTCAAAGGTAAGTGGAATAAAAAGCTCAATAGGTGCTGCAGTAACTGTATTTTCGGGAGGTGAAAGGAGGCTTAAAGATGCTGGTTTTGATGGTGAAATTGTCTGCAGAATTATGTTTGTAGGAGGATGAAGCACTAAGTGGTTTACCTGAGCACAGTTTTGAATATAGATGAATCATTCCAAGTCCGCGTGCTGCCTGCTTCAGGTGGATTGTTTGCCTGTAGTATGCGGGGTCATCACTTCGCTTTTAAGTCTCCCACTCCCACCCCATCTGAAGGAACTCTACATTTGATATTTTGGAAAGTATTTTTATGTATGAAATTCTAAGATCCTTAAATTATCTCTGCTTTGAAATGCATGATAAAGCAGACGTTGTTGTTGGAAATGTGGTAAACAAGCCTACAGACATTCTGTTCACAAATGTGGCATTCATTTTCATTACTGCCCCACTGACAACATGAAAACACAGGCAAAAAGAAACTACCAATTAGCTTTATAGTAATTGCAGGATTATAACCACTTTTGTGACTGTAAATTCTGAGATGTCTTCGTAATCCAAGTAACAATAGATTATCCTGTGTATTGATCTGTCTCCCTTTCAAGTTAAAAATAATTAAACTTTATATTTGCATGATGTAGAAAATCATTGTTTTACTCCAAGAGAATTTTTGAAGATCAAAATCTACCCCCGCTCCCAGCACCCTCCTCGACTCAAATTGCTAACGATTAGTGGATGTTAGAGCAATTCCTCAAAGGTGGAATATTGTGGCAGTTGGGGAGCACATCAGGACTCGATGCTCTGTTCAGGGGTTTCTAAACCCTTTGCTACCTTCTCCTGAGTCCATTTACTCACATGCGTATGGCTCTGCCAGAAAGCTGGGATTTCTGTCTTCCTCCAGAGCAAACACCTGCTCCGTTACTTTGATTTTTCTCGAAAGAGAGGGAGAGTTGTCAGTGTTCTTCCTGGCTTCAGCAGAATCCAGGACTGGACGTTTTTTCTCTACGTGAGTTGGCAATTGGTTTTGTTTCTGAGCCCAGTTGTCTTAGTTCTGCTGTTCAGGAATTCTCTTGACTGGCCTGGCATCAATTAGTAAGCATTGGGGAGTTTATTTTTAGTTCGAAAGATAACCAAATAGGGAATTGACATAGACAAGCCCAAGAATACAGCAACAAGTGAAGAGCCCAAGTACCAACTGTTTACACAGTTAGTAGCAATTTCCCCCAAACTTACATACTGATGGCTTTACAGGTCAGTCTGTAAGCTGAGTAGATTTCATGCTTTTTAGCTTTGGAAATAACTAGATAAGCAATGTTATCCAATTACTAGAAAATTGTATCATTGATATACTTGCTCGGAGGAGTATTTTTTTTTTTTTTTTTGCAGTTTAGCGCTTGGTAAACTGTGCTGGGTGTTTCTGTAGGTGGACAATAGGGATGGAGCAGAAGGTCTGTTCAGAGGAGTTCGCTGGCAATGACTTTGAAGACAGCATAGTGGCTGTCATTTCACTTGCAACTGGTAGTTTTAAAATACGAAATTATATTTAGATAGGCTGTCAAGTTGATTTGAATGAAAATATATTTCTATTTAATTTTATCCTTCAGGGGGCCGATTGTAGTTCTGCATTAGTCATGGCAAACCTGCCACTGATTTAAGGCTGAACTGGCCCCAAGATATTATGCATGCGTGTACCACTTGTAAGATCCATGTCCTGATAACGTTGTCATGAGTTACGTGATTTGTAAGCATATTGTCAACTGAGGGAGAAAGAAAAAAGTGCAAATGCTGTGTTTGCTAATAAGTAAACGATCATCTTTACACCTTTTAATCTACAGCCAAATACACGCTGCTGTTTATCGTAGGGAACAAATATATCTAATTAATTTGTACAATAATAGGGAGAAAATCTGCTGCATAAAATTCGTCTTCATGCTTGTGTTGTTCTTTATATATACTCTAGCATGTAAAATTGGTAGTTTTCCAGCTTAGGTTTAATTTTACTTCCTAACACTTGATATGTCTGAAGCATAAAATGTTTATCTCTCTCTTCCATCTGGGTGAAGTATTGTACAATAGTTCAGACCAAAAATGGGTTCAGATTGCTTACATTATCGTGTTTGATAGATTGACATATGTACTGTTTCACACCATCTTACCACGCAAAGCTTTGCTGCCAGCTACCACCATCTTATTCATCAGCATTCCGTAATTCATCTTCAGGCCAAATGGGACTGCTTGCCTGAAAAACGTAGGTAGGAATTCACCTTGTAGTGCTTTCGTGGAATTGGGAGGGGGGAGCATGTGTGTAGTTCAAATGGCTCTCGGGGGACTCCAGGGAGCAAACGTGAAGTCTTCATGCTGCCTAACCCTCACCTTGTCCTTAGGAGGGAGATGTGGGGAGTCCTGGGATGGTTTATAAAGACCTTATACATTGGAGATCCGGTAGCATGTAGACCTCGGCATGGCAGTGAACTTCAGCCAGCGTTGGGAAGTTTGGATGTTACGTGGTTCGGGGCTAAGCTCTGTGGCCATAAACCCCGCCTTTTCCTTTTAAGCTTTATGATATCCAGCTCTCAAATGTATGCAGTGTTATGAATGTATCAAAATGAAAGTGCTTATAGTATTCTGGGTTTGAATCAAGTTAAACAGATAATGACTGCTTGTAATTGACTTATTCCAATGGAAATAGCTTAGCCTTAATTTGACAACAAGAGCTTTTCCAGAGTCATTGTTTTATTACAAGTATGCCATAAGCTATTAACTACTACTTTGTGGTTCATCTTGTTTGCCTGAGTCAGCTCTCGAACATCCTCAAAACATACAGATTCTAGCAGGAGCTATTTGTTACACAGTAATTAACTTGTTTATGATAAATGGATGGGAGAAATGTCACGGCATTTTGTTTTATGTATAAATGAAAAGCATTTGCATTCTAAAAAATTCATGTTAATTAGACTTAAAATAGTTTTCCCCAGTAGTGCCACAAATACCACGTATTACACGTCACTGCCAGCCCTGTAGCCTGATGACGGGGCATGAGCTGAGTTGATTTGTGGAGCCGGTACCTTCCTTGGAGATGCTGTGCCTGCATCTCCTAATAAAAGTTAGTGGGGTGTAATCTCTTGTATTTTTTGTTCTTTGTTTTTGTTTGCAGGGTAATAAACTTAGTCTTGATCACTGATGCATGATAATGCTTAAAATAGGATCGTTAACTATTTTCTCCTTTAGCCTAAGGAAAAATCTCAAAGCCGCAGTATGGCAGAGGACAATTACGGCACGGGTATCTTTTTCTCTTTGTTAATTATTAATGTTAACTTAAAATGGCGAGAACATTGGTCCTGAGGGGTGGGGAGCACTGACATGCGGTACTGCGCTGAAGGCAGTTCAGGACTGACTCCGGGGATCTGATCCCTGAGTGTTAACTGGGGTATATGGGAATGATGATGGGTAGCGGCCTCTCGGGGAAGGAGAGCAATAAGGAGTAGGATGCTAAAAGTGATGTGCAGTATGATCCAAGGCGGGTGCTACTCCTGATATTGGGTTTATTTTTGGGTTTTCCATTTTTGTAAGATTTTTTAGAAGGTTGTAATTAAAACAAAAAAAATTTTTTTTTTTCTAAATTAGAAATTCAAGTTTTACTGGCATGCTGTGAGACCGTGGCAACTGGTAGTGGGTGGAATGACATCACGGTGTTAAATGTATTATTTTTCCAGCCTCGTACCATCACAGTTATAGTTTTTTTTCCCTACAATCAGTTGAGACGTACAGCCCCTTTTTTGTTTTTCTATGCATCTCTTCAGCTGGAGTGATTCATGTTTCTGTTGCCCATCCCGAGTAGTGCCTGTACCGATGTAGCAGGATAGCTTTGCTTGTGTAGGCAGTTACGTTTGGGTAGAAGCGTGTGGAAGCACAGTTTATTTTCATACGGGAAGATGAATAAACTGTGCCAGCATGTTCTGCTTTAAGCAAGTGTATGAAACCAAAGGTAGCCAAGCTTCATGCAAATGTATAAAAATGTAATTGCTTCCACGCTAGGGTTTCTACTAGTGTTATTTTTGGTTAAAAACAAGTAGATAAAATACAGAAAAACCTTACTGAAATACCTGTTGTTTTCATAAGAATTCAGCAGGGAGGCCATCTCTCAAGTTTTTTTAGAGATAGGATGTTCTTCATGCTCGCAGCTTTTTGTTCTCCCCTCTGAGACCTCCATCCTATTCAGCCCTCATCGCCTACAATAGCAAAACTTAGGAAGGCTGCAAATGCTGTTTAAAAAGTATAGAACAGGCAGACCAAAAAAACCCCAGCACTCCAAATCTTCATGGGACAGTGTAGAAGCAAACATTAAATTAAAAAAAAAAATAAAAATGAGCAAACCTTTGGAAACTATGTTTGAGTCTGGTTACTGGCACTTCATGTAGTAGTAACTGTAGGGATGTATATGGTACCTCCTTTTGGAGGTAAATATACTGTATTCTGGTGGTTAACGTGACATGTACTAAGAGCTCTACTTGGAAACAATCCTACAGCCCCAAAACACTACTGCGTATGTGAAATTTGGCCCCTGCAAAAGCACGGGACGAATCTTTTGGGAGGAATACTATAGCTTTGCTAAGGGCCCGGAGGGAAGGAGCGTGCCCCTGGGGTAGCAAACAGTAACCTAGCAAGCGAGCGCGTATCTGCAATGTTGTGTGGCCCCAGGGGGTGAATTGGCTCGCGGGGACGTTGTGCCTGTCTGTACGTCTGGCTTCCCACTTCTCCTGGGTCTAGAGTCTGAAAAATACATCGGTACCCGGCCGCTGTTAGTTTTGGTAGGAGCTTGGTTCCTAAAGGCTTCTGCTGGCCAAGGTCTTGCCTCTGAGGTGTGCTGGGGGGTGCCCCATCCCAAAGGTGTCCTGCCCATGGGGCGTGCAGGGTGCCACGGTGCTGCCTGTGCACCCAGTTGTGCTTCATCTTCCGAGTGCCCTCGGGTGTGTCGTATGGATGTGTTTCAGAAGCAAAGACCATGAGGA